CGTGTGCCTTGGCAGCTCAGGGCGGCGGGGGCGGCGGCGGCCGTCGGCAGGTGAGGACGAGGCGGCGCCCGTCTGCATCGGGCTCCCTGGCCTGGTGGACATCTCCTACAGCGAGACCAAGAGGAGGCACGTGTTCCGGCTGACCACCGCTGACTTCTGTGAATATCTCTTTCAGGCTGAGGACCGGGATGACATGCTGGGCTGGATCAGAGCGATCCGAGAGAACAGCAGGGCCGAGGGCGAGGTGAGGGCCCGGCCCAGCCCCAGCCGGGCCAGGGAGGGCGGGGCAGGCCCCGGGCGCCTCTCACCTGCCGGGCTCCTCCCTTCACCGCTCTGAGCCTCAGTCCCCGATTGCATAAAGTGGGCTGACAAGTGTACACCTTGCAGCTGTGCCCACGTAGGGTTTGGTGTGAAAAGAAGATGCAGGGACAATGGCTCACAGAGGGCCTGGCGTCCTTAGTGTCCCATGCCTGGCAGTAACAGTAACAGCTGTAGGAATGGCAGTAATTATTATTGTGGTTGTTATGACTGCCTTGGGCAGGCTCTGGCACAGAGAGGTCAGCTCTAGGCCGGCCTCAGCCTCTTGCTGGAGGTTTGGGAGGCGGGGGTCTCTTATGGAATGTATTACAGAGCGAGGTGCCCCTGGGCCAGAACTGTGGCTGGCCCTTCTGACGGGGCTGGCCTGTTTGCAGGGGCACAAACACATTGACCTTGGGAAGGGGCCAAAAGGATTGGCCTTTGGCAGCAGGCAGCGATGGCTGAGCCAAGGGCTTTGGCAGGGACTTCAGGAGAATTTTTAAATGGCGCCCCCTCCTGGGCAGATGCAGCTGCACACCAAGGGCCTGGGCTGGAATTTCTACTTCCACTCACCCCCTCTGCCAGGTGCCTGCGCCAAGGCACCTCAGCACACCTGCAGTTATGCGAGGGTCCTGGATATGGGGGCTGGTCCAGATGTGCACCTGCTCTGGCCACGGGGAGAGGGGTGCCAGGGCACAGCCTCTGGGGACACCATCTCGCTGAACCAGGCTCTGCTCTCCCCAAGACATTGTCTTTTTCACTACAGGGAGGATAATACCTGGAATTTGGGCCCTTTTCTGATGGGACTGGCTGGATTGCCCCCAACAGGGCACAGTCAGGGGGTCCCCAGTCACCTTTGTTACTGCAGTAGCTGCCTTTCATGGGGCACCTCTCCTGTGCCTTGTCAGGTCTCTGATGAGTGCTACGTGCATAATTCTGCACCCAAACCCTGAAGTTGCCATATTATCTCCCTACGTTACGCTGAGGAGACTGAGGCTCAAAGAGGCTAAGTGGATTACCCAAGTCACCCAGCTGGTGAGGGGGTGCTCGGGAGTCCAGCCCTGGTCTTTCTCGCTCCAGGGTCTGTACCCTCCAGCTGGCAGATGGAGGAGAGGGGAGGCGAGGCCGAGGCAGGGGCTAGAGATAAGCCCTGTGTGGGCTGGCCGTGGGCACTGATGGGGTCTGCTTTCTCTTCCCCCTCCTCCAGGACCCCGGCTGTGCCAACCAAGCTCTGATCAGCAAGAAGCTTAATGATTACCGCAAAGTGAGGTGAGGCCCAGCCCTCATGGAGCAGTCCTGGCCTTGGGGTGGGGGACACTGGCCCACTTCCAGGCCTGAGGGCAGCCCCCGAATCGCCCTCTGCTGGGAGCAGGGAGGGCAGCAGGGGCATTGAGGCCTCCAGTCCTCAGAAGGGCATGGAGAGATGGCCCCTGGGGGTGGAGGGGAGGTCCGAACTGGTGGGAGGCCAGGACAGGTGGCATGCCAGGTCACCCCGGATGAAGAACTCTCCTGTCCTCTTTTCCTACACAGCCATAGTTCTGGGCCCAAAGCTGATTCCTCCCCAAAAGGCTCTCGTGGCCTGGGGGGCCTCAAGTCTGAGTTCCTCAAACAGAGTACGGCACGTGGCCTCAGGCCTCAGGACCAGCCTGTAGGAAGCAAGGGTAGGAAGGTGGCTGCGAAAGGGGTGGGGTATGCGCATGCATGTGGGAGGGTGGGTGGTCAGCCCTGCGGGTCTGCGTGGGAGCAGAGGGCCTCTGTGTGTGTGTGTGTGTGTGTGTGTGTGTGTTGAGCAGTGAGTGTACCTGTGGGTGTGTGCCAGGGTTACCCTTGTGTGTCTGCTCATGTGTGCATGCTTTTGAGGGTCTGGGGGATCTCAGGGTCTCAGGGCTGAAGGGACCTGGACCCTAATTTCTCTCTGTGACATCCCAGCTGGGTGGTCCTCCAGTCCCTGCTTGTGTCCCTTCAGAAGCAGGAGGCTTATCCTCTCTGCAGGCAGCCTTTTCCATTTTCACACACTTTTGGCTATTAGAAAGTTCTTCCTTTGGTTATACCAGAATCTTTGGCGCCCACCTTGTTATTTTAGCCCTTGAGGCCATATAGAAGCCTTTACATTACTCTGAGGCCTCTCACCTCCAGGTAAACACCCTCATCCCTTGGGCCTTCTCTCTTGGGATATAATTTCCCATCCTCCCTCAGCATCCCAGTTGCTTCTCTGGAGTCCCCACATATCCAATGTGTGAATGTGGTGTGTAAGTGTGTGTGACCAAGTGTGGTTACTGTCCCTCCCTGGGCCTCCAGCTCACCCTGGCTCTCTCTGCCTCCTCCAACTCCAGATGACAGTACCACCACCCCCAAAACCCCCTGGGGCATCAACATCATCAAGAAGAACAAGAAGGCGGCCCCCCGGGCGTTTGGGGTCCGGCTGGAGGAGTGCCAGCCAGCCACAGAGAACCAGGTGGGTTCCTGCCATACTCCAGAGCCAGCAGGGAAGCGGGGAGACTGAGGCATAGAGGGTCAGAGCTGCAAGGGACTTTGGAGCTAGCTCTCCACCTCATCTTATGGACATAGCTGGGGAAACAGCCCAGGGAGGGAGCAGTAGAGCCAAGACAGAGCCCAGAATCCTGACCCCCAGCCTGTACTCCGGCTCAGACCCGGCGAGGCTTTGGTGTTATCTCTGGCCACCAGACAGGAGGCACCTAGAGCCTTTAGACCCTCCCCCGATACTGTTCTGGCCTTGCACTGCCTCCATCCTCCAACCCACTGCTGGAGAATGTTGTTCTTTTTTTTTCTTTTATTGAAGTATAGTTGCTGTACAGTATTATATAAGTTACAGTGTACAATATGATTCATAATTTTTAAAAGTTGTACTCCATTTATAATTATTATAAAATATTCTGCATATTCCCCGTGTTGTCCCCGTATATGTCCTTGTAGCTTATATGTATATATATATGTACAATTTTACCCATTCCTCTGTTGATGGACACTTAGGTTGCTTCCATATCTTGGCAATTGTAAATAATTCTGTTATAAACATTGGGGTACATGTATCTTTTCGAATTAGAGTTTATTTTTTTGGGGATATATACCCACAAGCAGAATTGCTGGATCTATTTTTAGTTTTTTGAGAAACCTTCATTCTGTTTTCCACAGTGGCTGCACCAATTTACATTCCCACCAACAGTGTACGAGGGTTCCCTTTGCTCTACATCCTCGCCAGCGTTAGTTATTTGTGGTCTGTTTGATGATAGCCATTCTGACAGGTGTGAAGTGATCTCTCATTATGGTTTTGATGTGCATTTCCCTGATGATTAGCGATGCTGAGCATCTTTTCATCTGCCTCTTGGCCATCTGCATCTCCTGTTGGGAAAAATGTCTATTCAGTTCTTCTGCCGATTTTTCAATGGGGTTGTTTGCATTTTTGATGTTGACTTGTATGAGCCGTTATATATGCTGGGTATGACTCCCTTTTTGGTCATATCATTTGCAAATAGTTTCTCCCAGAGAATGCTGCTCCTACCATAACACCCCTGCCCTGCCTGTGTCCCCAGCGCGTGCCCCTGATCGTGGCTGCATGCTGTCGCATTGTGGAGGCTCGGGGGCTGGAGTCCACAGGCATTTATCGAGTGCCAGGCAACAATGCAGTGGTGTCCAGCCTGCAGGAGCAGCTCAACCGTGGCCCTGGGGACATCAACCTGCAGGATGAGGTGAGTGCAGCTAGGGGTTCGGTCTGTGGAAGGGGGGCCAGTGTGCTGTGTGTGTCTATTGTATGCATTGTACCCTGTGATGTGCCTGGCATTGGGCCAGGGCACCAGGATGGACAAGACGGGGCCTGCCTTTGCAGGCCAGCCCTGGGAATGGTCATCCCCCAGCTGCCTAACAGATGGATACAGTCATGGCCTGAGAGCCAAGAGGCAGAGGCTGGCGGGCAGTAGTGTTTTGGGTCTTGCGGATGAGTAGGGTTCACTAAAAGCCAGTGGAAGCCAGGAAAGGGCACCCAAGACAGAGCGAATGGCCTGAGTAATAAAGGCTTGGGTCCCAAAGTTTTGCCAGCAGTCACCACGCCTTCTCCGTAAAGGGCCAGGTAGCAAGTATTCCAGGCTTTGATTACCGCATGTTTGTTGCAAACCCTCCTCCTCCTTGTCCTCTCCTTTCTTTTCTTCACAACCCTTTAAAAATGTAAAGACCATTCTTAGCTCAAGGGTCACACAAAAACAGCTCACTGGCTGGATTTGACCTGCGGGTCACGATTTGCAGACCCCTGATTAGAAGGAGAGTGTATGGTGTCTGCTGGAGCAGCCAGCAACGTGGGTGGCTGCAAAAAGGAAATGTTTAAAGCAGGAAAATAAATTACATAGAGGGGCTCTGGTTCCAGTTAAGCGCAGGCACACTCCCTCCAATCTTTCCTACTGATTACAACTAAAAACCCTGGACAGAAGATATAAAATAACCGTCAAATAACTGAAAGGTGGATAACAGCAGACCCAAGACGTAGAGAATGCAGCGTTCCCAAGAAGATCGAGGCCATCTGATGCAAACTCCCGGAACGTCTGTCCTGTCTAAAAATGTTTCTGCGTTTTCATTACAACACGCCCTCTTCTGCTGTAGAGAGAAGTGTTAATGTCTCTAACCAATATTCCCAATCCTTTTTTTGGTATTTCCTCTAGAATTCTGCTCCATCAATCATCTCCCCTTTCTCTTGTGTTGTGAACTGAATTGTGTCCTCCTCAAATTCATATATTGAAGCCCTAACTCACAAGATGACTATTTTTGGAGATAAGGTCCTTAAGGAAGTAATGAAGTCCGAGGGTCAGGGCCCTGATATGACAGGATTAGTGACCTTTGAGACACCAGAGAGCTCCCTCCCTCTCTCTCTGTACCTCAAGAAGACACAGTCAGAAGATAACTACCTGCAAACTGGGAAGAGAGCCCTCCCCCAAAACTGAATGGGCCAGCACCTGGATCTAAGATTTCCCGGCCTCCAGAGTTGTGAGAAAACAAATTTGTTCTTTAGGCCAAAAAAAAAAAAAAAAAAAAAAGATGGTAAAAGGGTTTTGCAACAGGTTATATATCAAATTATAGCTAAAAAAAAGCTGGGGAAAATACCCAAATAAATATTTCAGTTAAAAAAAAAAGAGTTTACAGCAGGGCCAGTGGTTCTCAAACTGTGTTGCCCAGAATCCTAAGGTTCCCCAGGGGTGCTGTGGGAGGCCAGGGGCAGGTCAGGCCCCCTCCTAATCCTTGCTTGAACTAGAATAACCTGCTTTGCTCTGTTTTTTCATGTCTGTTGGGTTACATGTATGATTTTACTTGACAAAAGGGGCTCTGCTGGAAAAGAGGTTTTGGAGAACTACAAATCTGGGCAGTAAAGTCCCATAAGTCACATACTCTGAATACTCTATGTGATTCTGTAAGACAGTCTTCCTGCCCTCAGGAAGGAAGTAGGGAGACAAGACAAGTGTGTGTAAAACAGTGGACACGAGAAAAGGCTGGTTCTCATCAAGGCCCAGATTGTGTGCTGAGGGAGAGGATGCTGGGGGCTGGAGCAGGCGGCGGGCTTGAGTGTTTGAATCTTTGAAGGATGAATAAGAAGGGTCAGGTGAACAAGAAGGCAGCCCAGGCAGGAGGTGATGGTATTTTGCAGAATCCCAGAGAAGTGTCTGAGTGTCAGGATAGAGAATGGACCCACCTCCTGGGCTTGGCAGTTGAGGTGGGGGGTGAGGCCCAGGGCAGGGGACAGAGGGCTTTTGATGGCTTTACTAAAGCCTTGGACCTTGAGCCAGTGGACAGTAGGGAATCTTTGATGGTTCTTCAGCTACATGAGTGGGGGGTTTGAGAAAATAATGCTTTAGTTTAGCCTAATGGATATGAACGAGGGAGGCCCAGAGCAGTGTGTCTAGGGAAGAAATTTCTGATATGTTGGGTGTGGGAGGGGTCAGGAGGACTCAGTGGCCCCAGCAGGATAAGGAGGATGGGAGGAGTTGGCTGCAGGAGAGGGAGGAAGGAGGAGCCGGGAAGAGCCAAACGTTTGAGGTGGGGGCTAGTGGTATCTGTCCGAGGCAGAAGCTGGCGGGTAGGGCAGGAGAGGGAGGAGGCATCAGGTAGTGGCCCCATTGGATTTGGGGTGATGGTAAATCACCCATGTCAGGGTGATGGCTTAATCAGGCACTAGACTGAGAGTAGACTGGGGATGAGGGGCAGATGCTTGTACATAGCAGGGGTCAAGGCCAGGGCAAGGCCTTGGGTTTGGCATTTGAGAGAGAAGAGCCCACCCATCAGGGCCAGGAGGGAATGGAGGGAGGTGGGCAGGAGCTGCGCTGGGGTGGGGGTGGGTGTGCACATTAGCTGGGCCTCAGCCAGGGAGAAGAGGGACCAGGGTGGGGCGTGTCGTGTGTGTTGGGTGTGTGATTTTGTCTTAGACATCAGCTGTGATATTTGTCATGGGGAGTCCTGGAAATTAAGCATTGCTTGCTGGGTGAATTTAACTCCTGCTGAGCCTGAGCATTAAGCTGTGGACCCATTGCAATGAGTGTATTTACTGTTGAGTTGTGTGTCTTTGTTGAAGGTATCATGTTGCTTTTTGGACATGAGTTACTCTGAGCAGTTCCTATCAAGGGGAGTTATCCTTGACTCTGTGCAGGATGGTAGCGCCCTCTGGTGGACAGAAGGGACAATGACCCGGCCGTTCCTTATTCATCCTTGTCTTCAACAACCGTTTATTTAGACGAGGGTTTCTCAACCTTGACACCTAGGGCAGAATAATTCTTTGTTGCAGAAGGTTGTCCTGTGCACTGGAGGAAGTTTAGCAACATTCCTGGACTCTACCCACTACAGGCCAGTTGCACCCCCAAGTTGGGAAAATCAGTATGGTTCCAGACACAGCCAGACGTCCCTGAGGGGCAGAGTTGCCCTGGTTGAGAACTACTGATTTAGACCATTTAAGTGCCAGGCTAATAATACGGCTGGCTAGGTCATAGGATCACAGTGGGAAGTAAGACAGGATCCCTGCCCCTCATGTGGCTGGCTTACAATTCCTTCAAAGAAATAGGTAGGAATAGGGAAACTGATGCCTACAGTAATGATAAATTGATTCAAGGCTGTAATACAAATGACAGGCTATGGTGATGGTGGCTGCATTCACTGGGACAATCAGGGAAGGCCTCTCTGAAGATGTTTAGATGGGGTGAGGAGCTAGTCATGTGACGGTCAGGAGGAGGCGAATTTTAGTGGAGGACACTGGCAAGTGCAAAGGGCCTGACACAGGGAGGCACCAGGCATGGGCTCATTCTGTTCATGGATCAGGAGAGGGGTTGGAAGATGACTCCCCTAAAGGGGACGCCCAGTGGAAGGCCAGTGGGCAGGCTTGTTTCGGGTGGGTTTTGCCCACTTCTGTCCCCCATGGTGCCTGCACCAGGGGAGGTACCTGCTCCTTTCTACAGATGGGCAAATGTTGGAGCTCACTGGGCTGGCTGGAGCAGGGAGGGGCTGGGGCCAGGTGGTAGAGGAGCTAGGATCTAGCTGGGGACTCTTCTACTGTCCCCTGATGTGTGTTCTGAGTCCAGAGATCCCTGATCAGGGCAGAGCTTGGGATGAGCGGGTCCCAGGGAGGGCCCAGGCTGCACTGGATTGGGCTCTATGTGTGGACCAGCATGGCAGCGTGGGCACCTGGGCGGGTCTGAACCTGGGGCATGGGGGGGTTGGCACGTGGGCAGGGCCTTCCTGTGGCCTGACGTCTTTGCCCCTCCCCAGCGCTGGCAGGACCTCAATGTGATCAGCAGCCTGCTTAAGTCCTTCTTCCGAAAGCTACCTGAGCCTCTTTTCACCGATGGTGAGTAGGGAGTGTGAGTGGAGGATGGGAGGAGGAGGGAATACCTGTCCATATGGCATCCTGCCCACTTTTTAAATTCGGTGTGTTGGTTTTCTTTTTGAGTTTTTGTTTTAATATGAAAGGAATGTGTGCTTGTAAAAAACTTAGGTGGTACAGATAGATAATACACAAACAAAGGTCCCTGTCATTCTTCCATCCCCCGTCCCCAGAGGTTATCCTAACGCTTTCTGAGCATTTGCTAAGTGCCAAGCACTACTCTTACAACTCCATGAGGTGGGTACTGTTATCTCCCCTCTACAGATGAGGACACTGAAGCACAGAGAGATTAAATAACTTGTCCAAGGCCACAGAGATTGTGTCAGAGCCAGGGTTCGGCCCCAGGCATCTGGCTCCTGAGCCCAGATCTTAACCGTTTGCCGAGCTGCTTATTAACAGTGCGTTGTGTTTCCTTCCAGACCCTCTTTCTTACACACATGACAGACACACACGCATTCATAGGACTTGAAGCTGGGTGAGTTCAGTGGTGTGCTGGTAAATGGTTCACATCCGGCTCTGAAGGGAAAAAAGGCTGTGATGTGTAGCATTTTCCAGTTTCCCTGGCATAAATGCTCCCACCACAGACTTATTTCAAGCCCCTGGTTTGCTGTCACCAACACGAGTTGGGAAGAGATGATCACAACCGGTTGTCAGGAGCCCGTGTGAGCCCTCTCCAGCACACCGCCAGCCGAGTTGTTCTTAACTGAAGGAGGCTTGTAATTTTGACATTCATTCATGTCAGTACAATGAGCTCTACCTCATTCTTCTTTTAAATCAACTGCATAGTATTTCCTAGTCTGAATAGACTATCATTTGTCTAATCACTCCCGTACTGATGGATATTTAGGTTGTCTTCAAATTTTTGCTCTTTTGCAATATGTTACAAAGACTCTCCTTGAATATGTCGCTGCACACCTGGACCAGGGTCCTCAAGGTAGATTCCCAGACATGGAATTGCTGGAAGATAGTTTTGAAAGCTAAAGTCAAATTGTACCCTGGGGAAGTGGCCCTAGTTCACGCTGCCATGAGCAGTGTAAGAGACTTTGTTTCCCTGCATCCCCATCTGCACTGGATGTTATTAATATTTTAAATTTTGCTGATTGGATTGGGGAAATGGCATCTCGTTATTTTTTCATTTTCATTTCTGTCATTACTAGGGAGATGAACTGTCTTTTCATTAGTTTATTGGCCTTTACTATTTCCCCTGTAACTGCCCGTTCAGCCTTTGTGCCCATCTGGCTGTTGAGTTCTTGGTCTTTTCTCGTATTGATTTGTAGGAGACAAACTCTTTGTATATTATGGATATTAACCCTTTATTAGTTTTTGCCAGTATCTGCCCTTGGTCTGCCATTTGTCGTTTAACTTTTCAGGGTAGAAGTTGAAAATCATTTTACATGTAGTCAAGCTGTTCGCCTTTAAGGGATTCTGTAGCTCATGTTTAGGAATGCCTTAAAAAGTATTTGCTTCTTTTGCTTGATGTTTTAACAACTTTTGTTTTTGGCTCTGTAATGCGATTAAATTTGTGTATTATGTGAGCTAGAAATGGATTTAGTTTCCCAACAAGATAGCTAATTGTCCCAGGGACATTATCAACGCCTCCCTCTTTCCCCGTGATCGGAAGTGCTGCCTTTATCACATAGTCACAATCACATGGCCTGTTTCCCTCCTTTCTGTCCTTGTCCTTCACCAGCTTTCCTGTCACTTCCACGCTGCCTCAGCTGTACTATCTTTTTAGTACATTGCAGTATCTAAGAGCACAAGTCCTCCCTCGTCACTCTTCCTTTAAAAAATATTCTTGGCTATCCCTGAGCATTCGCTCGTCACACGTCCCATTTTTTAAAAAATCCCCATAGTGGGAGGGTATAGCTCAGTGGTAAAGTGCATGCTAGCATGCACAAGGTCCTGGGTTCAATCCCCAGTCCTTCCCTTTACAAAATAAATAAATAAACAAACAAACCTAATTACCTCCATAAATAAAGAAACAAGTAAACCTAATTACCTCCCCACCCAAAATAAAATCTCCATGACTTCTTCTGAAAGGAATTGGGGGAATCCAGACACAGGTGGGGAGGGGTATCTGGAGGCTGAACGGCCCCTCCTTCTTTCTAGGTGACCTTCACTTCTGACCTGGGGATGCCCTTGCCCTGGAGGCTGAGGCAGGGACCCCTTTCCAGGATCAACATGTGGCTCAGGTCTTATTTCTTCCCAAATGGACGCACCTGGGCTACCCCAGGTCAGATGTACACGCGAGGACAGCTATGGTGGGTTTGGTCACATGAACACAAGGCCAGGGAGCCCCACAAAACCAGAGGGGCATGCGTGCAAAACACTGACCTCCTGGCAGGGCCTCTTCAGCCGGCAGGGCCTTCAGCCAGGAAGCTGTCTGCCTCTCTAAAGAGTCCTCACTGTGTTCTAGACAAATACAATGACTTCATCGAGGCCAATCGCATTGAAGACGCGAGGGAGCGGATGAAGACACTGCGGAAACTGGTAAGGGCAGAGACATTGTTAGGTAGACTTGACCAGGCGAGCACCATTGCCCCAGGAGCCCTGGCCGGGTGCCACCAGTTCCCCCTGTGACCTTGGAAAGCCCTTCTCCACCCAGGGCCTCAATTTCTCCATCTATACAAAAGGGGCATTCAGAAGGTGGATTCCAGACCCCAAAATATGGCAGTGGAGCCCCTTTGGGGTGTGATGGGGAGGTGGAAGCTATCACAGTCTGGTCCCATGCCCCTTCTTTCTCCCGCCAGATCCGGGATCTCCCAGGACACTACTATGAAACACTGAAGTTCCTTGTGGGCCATCTGAAGACCATTGCTGACCACTCAGAGAAAAACAAGGTGGGTGGGAGCTCCGGTGTGAAGTATGGGGAAGGGAAGCAATACTGGGGTCTCCTCAGCATATTCTAAGCTCCTCCAGGTCAGATAATCTGGCCATACCCTCCTCCTTAAAGATCATTCTGTCCCTACCACCTCCCTACATCCTGACCAGTGCTTTTCTCTGGAGAGCCATCTCCTGAATTTCTGAGGGTCTTCCAGAGGCAGAGAGCCTGTGTCTGATGGAAATCCATCCTCTGATCTAACTTGGACCCCTTGTGTTGCATTTTCCTAGGCAAACCTCTTATATCTTCTAATATTGCAGCGGAGGGAAGGAGGGGAGCTGTAGAATTTCTCCCAGTCCTAAAACACCCTTGGAACTTCCAATGGGTCCTCATCTAGGATCTCCCACTGTTAGCACAGGATGGGTGTGCAGATTGGGAACTGCCCATGACTGCCGGGTCTGGGGGTGAGTGGGGCTGAAATCTGGCCTGTTCTCTACTTACCAGGCATCTCTATGCCCTGCAAGGAAACATCTGGCCCCTCAGCTAGGGACAGCTCAGGATGTGGTGGGGCTGGGGGCCTGAGGGGCCCAGAGTGAGGGAAGCCCAGGGAGCCTGAGGAGTGGAGGCCAGAGCCCACCGAGTGTCGATGTTGACTCACCTCCCTCCCCTGCCCAGATGGAGCCCCGGAACCTGGCCCTGGTCTTCGGGCCAACGCTGGTGAGGACATCCGAGGACAACATGGCAGACATGGTGACCCACATGCCTGACCGCTACAAGATTGTGGAGACGCTGATCCAGCACGTAAGCAGCCACCCTGGCCTGGGCCATGTGCCCTTGGGCACCTGGCTCCTGCTTGCCTGGGTGATGTGCTCAGGGAAGGATGAGGCTACTGGGATGGTGGATGCCCTTCAGAAGCAGTAAGCTAGGAATGGATCCTGAATCTGTGTCTTTCTGGGATGTTGTATCCCCAGCAGGAGAATCAGGAGGGCCCTGAGCTTCCAAGATGCGTGAGAGTCAGAGGGAGGAGGAAGGTCAGGGACAGGTGCTGCTGAGTTAGACAGCAGAAGTGGCGAATGCAGGGGCACCTTCAGAAAGTGGCCCCCAGGAGAGTGTCCTGGCAGAAACGGGCAGAGGTGGGAGCAGAGCTCTGCCCTGCAGGCCCACTGAGACATCAGGGAGAAAACGATGATGCTCGGGGTAGGGGGAAGTGGGTGGGTCAGGATCCTGCACTCATGCTCAGTGTGTCTTGGTCACCTTCCTTCTCATGTGTTTCTAAGTATTCGTATTATTGTCCATCATGTGGTGAGAACCAAGAGCAGCCAGCAGAGGGCGCAGGAGGCTTTGGTTTTTCCAGAGCCAAAGCCGGGGAAGCACCGCCCCCTTCTGGGGCGCTCAGGGATGTTTTTATGAATCATAGATTTTCCATTTCCAAGTCTTGGTGTGGCCAGTGGTCCAGCCCACAAAGAATGAAACCAGAACCCTCCTGCCAGGAGAAATAAGATTGGCAGCTGGTCAATGGAAGGGAAACCTTAACCTTCCCCACCTCACAGACACTTTAGGGAAGGGAAACCAGGTCATGTTACTCCCATTATACAGATCAGGAAATGGCTCAGAGAGCCAAAATGATTTGCTCAAGGTCACACAGCTAATAAGTAGCAACCCCAGGATTTTAAGCCAGATCTGTCTGACCAAAGCTTTACTCCCCAACTGACTGGGAGGGCCGGCTCCGGGGTCCATCCTAGAGCCAGAGTGAGGGAGGTTGGTCAGAGTTAGCCAGGCAAGGCCATGGGTAGACTTTGGTCACGCTGACTGGCTTTGCTGGCTTGTTTCCTTCCTTCACCACATGGTCAGGGCTCTGAGCCATAAGTGGGTATGTCAAAGCCTGTTCTCATTCTAACATTGGGACCACCGTCCCAGAGGCTCACTCCAGAGCTGTCAGGGAGGCCAGGGCTGCTGGGCAGTGTCAGGGATCCTGGTCTGGGGAAACTTATCTTCCTTGGGAAAGTTCAGTTCCCCAAACAGGGAGCCCCTGGAGCCCCCATGAGTGTATGTTTAGAGGGGGCAGTGGGGAAGAGAGGGAGACTTCCCCCAGCTCCTAGGGAAACCCCAGGCAGCCCGAGGCCTGTGTCAGCTGGGGTGTCAGGAACAGCAGCCTTCAGGGAGAAGGGAGGCCCAAAGGGTGTCCACTTACCCTCCCCTAGGACCCTGGGGGTGTCCCCAGCCAGCGACAGCCCCTTCTCTGGGCTAGGTGGGGGAGGTGGAGCACATCTGTCTCCTTCACAGGTGTATCCTCAGCACCGAGCAAACACTCAGTGTTTGTTGAATGAATCAATGATGGCTATTGAGGTTATGCCAGTCTGGGCTTTCCCACTGAGGGATTCACTCCTGGGAACTAGCTGAGCTGGCGACTCTGCATCCTGTCCTCTGCCTCCTTGGCATTAGAATGTAATCAGCCCTGAATGAGTGTTGAGGGAATGAACTGCCCCCTCTGCAGGCCCCCGTGAGCCCGCCCACCTGAGTTGGCCAGCGTCTGTCTAGCCCAGAGGCTCTACAGCCAGGGGTTGGTGAAGTCAGGAGCCCAGGCAGGATGGGACTTGCGGCAGAGGCTGCTCTGGCTCTGGCTCTGAGCCCTTGGTTGAAGTTCATAGGTGACATGACCTCCTGCTGGGAGTTTCAGCTGCAACCATCACCTGGCTTCCCTACCTGAGGCTCCTATCTTCTGTGGAACTCTTGGACAGCAGAGCCGGAAGGGGTCTTAAGACATCAGACTCGACTTTGCATCGTACAGAGGGTGGGAACTGAGGCTTGAAGACAAATGGTGACTTGCCGAGGGTCACACAGTGAGATCATGACAGAGTGGGGATGAGTAAACCCAGGTGTTCAGCCCCTAGCAGCAAGCCGCCAACCAGCATTCCCCCGTTTGCTGAGTCAGTTGGAACTCAAACAAAGACCTTGTCAAAACATTTGTTCATTTATTCACTCAACAAATGTGGTAATTCCTACTATGCGTACACTGGGATTTCTCAACCAGGCACTAGTGAACTTTGGGGCCAGATCATTCTTCTTTGTTGGGGGAGCTGTCCTACATATGGTAGTGTGTTCAGCTAGTGGCATCTCTTGGCCAGATGCCAGGAGCATCCCTCCACTTGTGACAATTGAAAATGTCTCCAGACATTGCCAGATGCCCCCTTGGGGGGCAAAATAGGGCCAGTTGAGGGCCACTGGTGTAGAGGTTGAGGGTACTGCCTCTGGAGCCCACCTGCCTGAGGTTAAACCCTGGTTCTGCTCCTTCTATGCTGTGTGGCCTTGGACAAGTTACTTACCCTCTTTGTGCCTCCGTTTCCTCACCTGTAAAGTGAAGATAATAATAATACTTATTGCACAATGTCATTGTGAGAGTTACATGAATTATCTGTAAAGCACTGAAAATTGTGCCTGCCAGTGGGGGAGGGTATAGCTCAGTGGTAGAGCGCATGCTTAGCATGAACATGGTCCTGGGTTCAATCCCCAGGACCTCCATTAACATAAATAAATAAATAAACCTAATTACCTCCCCACCTCAAAAATAAAAAAATTGTTTTTAAATATAAGCCATTAAAAAAAATGGTGCCTGGTGGGTAGTAATTGTTATGAGTTAGCATCATTATTCCACGCCAGATACAAATGCAGGTGCCCAGCCCTGGGTGTGGGGCTGGGATCGTAATCAGGGGGTTCTTGAAAGATACATGGATTTTAGCCAGGCAGAGAAGAGAGATAGCATTCCAGGCAGAGGGAACAGCATGTGCAAAAGCAGGGTGGCATGAGTTAGCATGACCACCTGGAAGTTTCCTGTAGACTTCTGGGTTCCCAGAGCACTTTTAGATACCCTTAGAGGCTGGCTTCCTAGGGCTCCCTCTGGTCAGCCTGTCTCCAGGGACTGCACCTTTTAATAATAATAGCTAACAGTTATTGCACACTAATGTGTTGTACTAAATGTTTTACATACATACGGTTATTTCTTTTTTCGTTTGTTTTTTAAAATTGAGATGTAATTGACACATTATATTAGTTTCAGGTGTAAATAATGATTCAATATTTGTATGGATTGTGAAGTGATCAGCACAATAAGTCTAGTTAACATCCATCACCATACATAATTGCAAATTTTTTCTTGTGATGAGAACTTTTAAAATCTACTCTCTTAGCAACTTTTATATATACAATACAGTATTACTAGCTATAGTCACCATGCTGTACATTACATCTCCATGACTTACTTCTTTTATAATTGGAAGTTTGACTCCCTTCACCCTTTTCAACTACCCTCCACCCCCTTACCTCTGGCAACCACTAGTCTATTGTCTGTATCTATGAACTTGGATTATTTGTTTTTTTAAATTCCACACGAGAGACCATATGTATTTGTCTTTCTTTGTGTGACATTTCACTTAGCATAATGCCCGCAAGGTCCATCCATGTTGTTGCTAATGGCAAAATTTCCTGCTTTTTTATTTTTGATTAATATTCTACTGTGTGTGTGTATATATATTTACACATATATATCACACTTTATCCATTCATCTATTGATGGACACTTAGATTGCTTCTATGTCTTGGTGATTATAAATATTTCTACAGTGAACATGGGAGCGCATATATATTTTCAAGTTTTTTTTTTGTTTCCTTGAGATAAATACCCAAAAGTGGATTTGCTGGGTTATATGGAAGTTCTATTTTTAATTTTTTGAGGAGCCTCCATACTGTTCTCCACAGTGGCTTCCTATCAACAGTGCACAAGGGGTCCCTTTCTCCACATCTTCATCAACACTTGTTATTTCTTGCCTTTTAGATAACAGCCATACAGTATTTTAGTTTAATCCTCATCACAGTTCTAGAGGTAGATTCTCATATAGTATGCCCATTTGAAAGATAAATAAATAGACTCAGGTAATTAACCTGAGGTGAACTTGAGCTTGAACTTGAACGTGAGATGACTAACTCTGTATCTTAAGTTTCTTTCTTATCCTCTCTCACCCTTTTCTCTTCTGTCTCGTTGTTTCTCTTCGGTGCTGCTTATTTGAGTTAATCGTATGCCTGATTATGATGAATAATAACTGAGGTTCATGGCACATGGCCATAATCAACCTTGCAAATATCCTTGTTTTCCCCTTCATCCCTGACCCCACTCTGCCTGCTTCCCAAAATGACACATGTGTCTTTTCAATCCACCTTTTATAGGCTAATTTTAAGTATAAGGATAGCCTTAAATATGTGTAATATTCTGCGTTTTTAAACTTTCAATTAGTGAGCTTTGCTCATTTACTTTTATGTAATTTCTGTACCATTAAGACTGTTTACCACATTTTCATTTTATTTCCCTTTTTTGGTCTTTCCTACCTTGCTTTGGATGGATCGATTTTATTTTCTTGGTGTAAAACTTGCACAACTGATCAAACTCATAGTTATGTTTAATTATACAATTATAAAAGCTTGTATTTATGTTTAATTTTTACAATCAATTTCTGAACCTTCTCAGTGTCCTCATCTTCCTTCTGCCACATCTAAAAGCCATGTACCTTAATGTACTTTCACCTGTCACTGGTATTTCCTCTGCATTTGAATTCCAGGTTGTCATGGATATACTTTGTGTTTCTATACGTATGTGTGTGTGTGTGTGTGTATCACTGCTTAGTTTGATAACAGTGGACTTTTCCATCCTTACTTCTTAGGGCTTGTTGTTCTGTCTGGGATTCATTTTCTTTTTCACAGATTTTTTTTGGGGTAATTAAGTTTATTTTTATTTATTTATTTTTAAATGGAGGTACTGGGGATTGAACCCAGGACCTTGTGCACGGGAAACACGTGCTCTACCACTAACCCTTTCCCCCACCCCGGATTCATTTCTGTCCGTATTCATGGACTCAGTTAAGAGAGTCTTTATGTAGCAGACTTTCTGGTGTCTTGAAATAGTTTTATTTCACACTCAAATTTAACTCAGAGTTTAGCAGAGTATAACATTCTAGGTTCAAAATCCCTGCATTTGTAGTCCAGAAACACATCGCAAATGTTACTTCCATGTCTTCTTGTGTCTGTTGCTGCTAAAAGTTCTGTTAAAGCTGATCCTTGTTCACTTCTAAGCAATCTGGTTTTGTTTTTCAGAACACTTTTAGAGTTTTATCTTCAAGATTCTCAAATTTCACAAAATACATCTGAGTGGGATCTTTATTTTCTATTCTCTTTGGCATTTATGAGAAAACCCTTGCCTGCCAGTCCCTCAGGGGACCCCCAACACCTCCCTCTAGGCACTTCCCTTTTCTGGGAGTGGGGTGCCACCCCTGTTGTCAGTGTGGCGCCCAGGCTGGGGTGGGAGTACCCACAGCTACAGCCACAGCCACAGGGGTGGCCTTCTCCCTGCAGTGGACCCAGCCGGCACTAGATGGCGCTGCTGCCCCCGCTTCTGGTTTGCGGTTAGGAGCAAGCCAGTGATGTGCAGGGGACTGTGTTTAGTGAAAAACAGGCAAAGAGAAACTCTCCCTGGGTGGGTCATCTGTCTGTACTCGGCCTGCTCCCACTCCGGGCTGTGTTTCCTTCCCACACTGAGATCCAGACTTTTCTCTCCGCAACGGTTTCTCATAGTCTGTGGAGTCGGGTTCCAGGATCCATCAACCCCGCTCTGAGACCTTTCTAGTAACCAGGCGAGCCTGCGGTTTGTTGAGGAGGGGACACCCTCACCCTTTGGCTCCCCCGACCCCGCCGCCCCTGCTCTGCTCCATCAGGCGTCTGAGTGGGTCCTCTGAACTGAGCAGGTTGGGAGTCCGTGTCTCCCTGTCTTCCCTCAGCTCCTTCCCACGCTGATTCCATCACTTCCTTTTGTCTCTTCTGCAGTCAGACTGGTTCTTCAGTGACAGCGAGGACAAGGGAGAGAGAGTGAGTGATGCAGAGGGCCCGTGGGGTGGGGTCTGGTCTGATGTGGGCCCTCGTCCCAGGTGGGCGGGGTGGGTGGCAAGCCTCAAGCAGAGCAAGGTCCCTGTCCTTGGGGCATCCCCAGTCTGATGGTGGAAACAGAGTCCCTCTCCTCAGGAGCCTCCAATCTGATGGGAAACAGTCCTCGCCTTCATGAGCCCCCAGTCTAAGGGGGCGACAGAGGCCTTGCCCTAAGGAAATTGAGTCCAGTAGCAAAGGCAGACCCCGCCCTCCAGTCTTATGTGGAGGATAGAGATCTTAGGAAGGCCCAGTCTGATGGGGAGACACAGCTCCTGCCCTCAGCTGAGGGAGCAGCTTGGGCCTTTGGGGTTCAACCAAGATGTTGGGGAAGGCACAAAACAGTGTAAGGGGGACATGTAGGACCTGCCTTCAAGAGTGCGTGACTAATGAGGGAGACATCCCCTGCCCTGGTGAGCCCCCATCTGATGGAGGAGACATGTGCACTGTCTTCAGAGTTCCCCATTAAGGCTGTGCTGGCTGACCCTCCTCCTGTTTGCAGACCCCTGTGGATGACAAGGAGCCGCAGTCAGTGCCAAACATCGAGTACCTCCTGCCTAACATCGGCAGGACAGTGCCCCCTGGTGACCCAGGTTCAGGTGAGTGTGGAGGGTGGGGGCTGGGAAGGGGTGGAGGGGGGTGGGATCTGCATTCCTGAGGGCCCCAGATGCCTGGCCAGACACCCAGCTTCCCTGCTCCTGCCCCCACGGGGCCCTCCCTGTCCCCTGCCAGGGACTGGGCTGTGGCAGGGACTGGGCTGTGGTGGGGCCTCCTGCCTCTCTGGGGAGGGTCAACCCGCCGGTGTGTGGCCTCGTCTGCTCAGCTGCCCCCACCCCGGGCTGGGTAGGCGCTTTGTTTGCCCTCCTTCACTGGTTTCTTTCCTGAGCTTTTTATTTCTCGTGGGCCACGTCCTGAGCACGTTTCTCTTTTTAATTTTTCTTCCTTTTCTCCTTGCACCCCCTCTTCTCCCTGTGCTCTCCTTCCATTCCCTGGATCCTGCCCCTACTCCTCTCCTCCCCTTCCCTCCTCCAGCGGACCTGTTGGAGATTTAAAGGGTACAGTGTGGCATTGCGGTCTCGGTCACTAACAGTGGCGGGTGATTATAAGAAGGCTGGGCAGGCAGGAGGGGCAGGCAGAACCTTCTGGGGCTGTGAGGACTTCACCTTGACACATCAGCTATCCGTGCTTGTTAACAACTTACCACCACCTCTCCCATCTGAAAGCCCCTTCTCAGGAGGAAGGAGGCACTTGCTGGCTCAAAGTCCGGTCCCCCTTGCCAGGAAGTCTGGGCACTGCATGGCTGCCCTGCTGCAGTCCCCCAGACTCTGTGGCTTTCTCTATGTGCTGAGCCCGGCCACTTCTGGTTATCCGGGTGGCTGGTAGCAGGACCCAGCCTCTCCAGACACCAGTGAAGCCACCCAGAAGCCTCTGTGTATCTATAGCTCCTGTCTCGGCTACTCCAAGGGCTGGCTCTTCCTGCTCAAAAATCCAGAGACCCTGGTCACTCAGCCCCTAAGTCCTGCTTCCAAGCCTCTGGCCTTATCAGAGTAGCCCAGGGACAAAGGAATGACCAGTCCCTTCTTGGCTCGAGCCACTAACTTCTCCTACCCTGTGGATGACCTGTCCTTGGTATTTGGACCGCTTCTGTCTCTGACACAGGCACACCCCGAGCACCTCTAGTTATAAGAGGCAGGCTGGGGAGGGGGCCAGAGGACATCGGGGCGGGGGATGGCAGAGAGGAGCCCCCTGTCTCTTCTAATCACCTGCTGCCGCTCTCTGGCTCCATGTGTGTTGGTGTGTGATCAGCCCATCTGCTCTTCTCACTGTGTGCGGGGAGGGCTGGGGGGAGGCATCTAACTTGCTTGCCAGCGAGTGTGGATTAACCGCACCTGCCCGTGGCCTCTTGAGACCTCAGGAGATCCTTGGATCAGCTCCCTCTCAGTCCTGGAGACAGCACTGCCGGAACTTGTTTCTGGTTCCTTTTCTACCCCAGTGTTATTAAGGGAGTGGGACCCGAGTGCCTTCATAACTCTGGTTATTAACAGGGGCCTTGTGTGAGAACGGACTGACCCCAGGTCTGGAGGTCGGACCTCTCACGGCTGTAATCACCAGCCCTCCCTACCTCCCGCCCCACCCACTTCCTGTCTGCCCCTGTACTCCGCCATTCCTGGGGTCCCTTTTCTTTCTCGTGTCCTGGAGGTGGGGGGTGTGGGGTGAGAGTGGATACAGGGCACCCACCTCTCTGCACTGTGTGGTTTCCATTTCTTCAGAGCATCTGTGATTTGCTGTGTTTCATTGTTGTGGTTTCCGTGGATGCATCTGATATTTGACATTTTCTCTCCAGTGCTTCAGAGTAACAGGGACAGGAGGGGAAGGGAGAGGAACTAGACCAAAGAAAAGCCTCCGCTGCCCTTAACCCTGGGCAAATGAGGGTCCAGGGGTTGGCAGCCTGATGTCACTTCCTGCCCCCAAAGGAAGCGATGATTGACATCCTTCTCTGCTCCATCCCTGTTCCACAGGAAATGACATCAGAGGCTCATCACGCTCCCCGGGCCTGGGCGATCTCAGGGTTCTGAACTCCCTGGTTTCTGAAGCCTCTGAGGAGAGGGAATTGTGTTCACAAGACTCAGCCTTCTCTTAGCCAGTCCAACTTTCATTTGTCTTTCATTTCTCACCAACAGATTCCACCACCTGTAGTTCAGCCAAGTCCAAGGTAAGTGCCGAGGCAATTCTGAAAGTTTTATTCCTGTACAAGAAGGCCCACTTTGCTTTTTGGTCAAGGGAATTGAGAGGATTGTGGTTGGACGCTAAGGAAGATGGGTAGTCACTGGGAAGGAAGGTGGGACATACCAAGTGTCCAAGGTAAGCTGAGAAGTCTCTCACCTTAACAGTGCTTGAGAAGGTACCTGGTGCTGTAGAGGAGTTAGGTGGCCTGGAGGCAGTGTCACCCAGTGGTTAGAAGCACAGACAGCCCTGGGCCTGAGTCCTGGCTCCACCACTTAGTGGCTTGGGGACATTGAGCAAGTTACTTAACCTCTTCCTTCCTCTTTCTTTCTTCCTTCCTTCCTTTCTTCCTTCCTTTCTTTCTTTCTTTCTTCTTCTTT